TGGAATTTCAAACACAGGCAGATATTTCTCTTGTATGATGGATTTGATTTAGAAGTAATGAATATTACGCAGTTCTGCATAAAAACTATTATCATAAACTAATTTCCGTTTTAATATTTTTTAGTCTATTGCTAGAATAGATTTATGTAAAAGTCATGAATAAGCTTTTAATGAATTATACTATAATTAATTAACATCTAATTAATACTATTATATATTTATATATATATATTGGAATATCAAAATTTCACTTCATTTGTATGGAGTTCTCTTGGGGAGATTTTTATCTTTCAGAGATATATTTCTAAATTTCTTCATGCAAACCTTTTTACTCTTACTAAAGCATTTTTTCAAATGGAAGGGTGCGTCCTCCTAGGAGGTCGTGGTGAAAGTTTTACGAAGGAGGCGCCAGCATATTGAGAAATTGAAAACAAAAGATTATTTTAAAAATATTAATTTACTGAAAGTAGACGAACAAAATACATTTTGACATAATAAAAAATACATATTTACACTAATATAATACACTGTGTGTATCAGTACTACAAAATATATTTTATAATTAATTTAACAATACTAAGTTAAGGAAAGTAAAATAATTACCCATGGGTTTGTCATATGTAAAATTCTTTACACAAATTAACGCTTATCTTGATAATTTGTACTCTTTATAATTAATCCATTAACTGCCGATTAAAAGTAACGGTATTCTCTCCCCAATGTTATCGTTTTCCATGCAGGAGCGCGTATGGGATGTATTGGGGGGATAAGGAAAAAATAAGTAAATCCTTCGCAAACACTGCCAAGGTCCTTTTATAGTATTCTAAAGCCTGCAGAATAATTTTATGGATAGCAGTGCGCAGAAAATATTATAATTTAGAAAGATGTATATATACGTATGGGCAACTAACACTTTGGCTGAGTTAGACTTTTATATACACCCGTGGCACTTAACAGGTTAAAGTTGTATTGTAAATTTAGCACCAAAGTATATTATTATTGAATTCAATACATTGTTATTGTATGAAAGGGGGCGTGAAGAAAATTATGATTAAATTTTGGGTCGAAAATATTGAAGAATTGAAAAGTACTGCCTTACAATCTAGAGAGAAAATCTGTAAAAGTTCACAATTGGCATTTATCATAATTAAGTACTGATTTTAGACATTTTGATCGGATACCAACTTGGATTTTCATTAAAAAGTAGTGAAAACATAACACTACCAAAATTTAACAAACTTACATAAATTTATTTGCAATTACTTAATTGATTGATCTCAACTGCAACAACAAAAATAAATAAGATAACAATTTATTTCAGAGAAGTATATTAAGTGGACTACATTTAACAAGAAACACTTACACATTTTATACCTTATTTTACATCGTTTTTAAATATTTCAAACTTATAGGAATATCTAATGACTTCAAATACTTAATGTAAAATTAATGAAACGTTTACTTTCAAAGTAGTTTGAAAATTTCAGGAGAAAATGGATTGCATTCCAAATTTGATTACTTGAAGGGAGGAACTTTTAATGTAAACTGATCTCATTCAATTAAATACACTGCAGGCTACCTTAAATGCAACACCAAGAAAGAAAAGAGATAGCACAACAAAATTTATTTTGTAGATAACATGTTGACCTAGTATCAAATTATTAAATTTATAGACTTCTGTGAAGTGGGGATCCTGCCAGAATCAGTAGCCAGAGCAGCCGCCATTGTTGGAGATCACCGCTGCCACACGCCTCGGCATTGATTCAAAGACACTTTGGATGTGTTCTTGAGGTACAGAAGACCAAGCAGCTTCCACACGTTGCCAAAGTTTATCTAGTGGGGCAACTGGGGGTGTAATCTGGGTCAATCGTTGAGCAACCATAGACCACATGTTTTCTATTGGCGAAAGTTCCGGAGAGCAAGCCGGCCAGGGAAGCAATTCAATCTGGTGATTGACGAAGAACCTTTGGACAATGCGTTCCACGTGTGGTCGCGCATTATTCTGTTGAAACATGGCTGTGGCCGAGCCCTGAAGGTAAGGAAGGACAACTGGCCCTAACACCTCGGAAATGTACCGCTGCCTGTTAAAAAATACCCGCAATGCGTACTAGAGGAGTGCGAGAGTGATATCTAATACCACCCCATACCATAATACCCGGTGCACGACTATTGTGGCGGTGCATAACGCAGCTGTTCAGCATCCTCTCTCCACAGTGTCTCCAGACTCGAATCCGACCCTCGTGGTATTGCAGACAGATGCGTGACTCGTAACTAAAGATAAGTTTATTACATTCTGCCGCCCATATTCTTCTTTCATCGCACCATTGGTGGCGGAGTCGTCTGTGGTTCTGCGTCAAGTGTACACCAAGCAATGGACGTCTTGCGGACAAACCACTCTGCTGTAAATGGCGTCGAATGGTATGCGCAGACATTGAATGGTGCGTTGCAGACTCAATGTGCTGTGCTACGGTTCGTGAAGTGAATGAGCGATCCGTCACTGCAATGAGCATAATTTGGCTGTCATCACGGGAAGTTGCGCACTGAGGTAGATGCGATCAACTACGTCGGTCCGTCGTACCCTCCTGCATCCAACGGTCACATATCCGCATTACAGTTGTTTTGTTTCATCCAACACGACTACCGATTTTCCTGAAAGATTATCCACAATCTCGGTAGGCCACTCTCCTTCCTTTGTTGAACTCGGATACTTGATCAAAAGCTGATCGCTGTAGACATAACTGATCTTTTTTTTTTGAAAAACCACAAGAAAAACACAATTGCCGAACAGGAAATCGTTGAAATCTCTAAGCCTTAAATAGCGCTTTGAGATGGCGCCACAGGCACGCGTGATGTGTGAAATTCTAATCATTTGCATATCTCACCTCCACTAATGCATGTTGTAAATTGCATGCTTCCTTTACGGTGGCCAGCAGTGTATATTACTTGATATTCCGAGCAAATGTAGAATTGAAATATTTGATCACAATTTAATTTAGGGAACTCGGAGTTGAGACGTTACTTCTTTTTTATCCTTCGAGATTCCACAAAACCACTGCAGCAGGAAAAAAAGAAAGCTATAAGGCCAGAAAAAATAAAAGTAAAATAACAGTATTCCCAAAGTATAATGTTGTCTAATATAAAAATACCTTTTGAAGCTGAGGCATCTAATCTTATTCAACAATTTTTCTTTGTATTTTGTAAACGTAACTTTTGCTTTTAGTTTTATAAAATTTCTTCCTTCCAAATGTATAAGAAAATAAGATATAAATAAAAAAGTTATATAAACAAAAATAATTAACAGTATCCATGCTTTATAAATAGTTTGCGGTCTTTAATTTTTTTGTCGTAATAAATTTCTCTCTCTCTCTCTCTCTCGTTTTTCTATATTTTAATTATATAATTAATTTTATCACATCCATTTTTACCTGCCTTTGTCATAATTCTGATTACACATCTTTTTTTTGTGTTAGTAAATTTAAATGAAAACGTTTATTAGGAAATATCCGTTAAAAGTGGATCAATTTCTCTTTCTCTGTTGTTTCAAATAATAATGAACTAATATTATCCAGAAGTGATACAAGTCACATGAATGCTCTATTATATAAAACTAAGAAGGTTTTGGCATTTTAACAAAACCTTATTTCATCAATTAAACATCAAATAACAAATAAATTTTGGACTTGTTTCGAAAAGGATTTTTATATAAAATTGTTTCATAAAAGTATAGTTAAATATAAAAAGAATACAGAATATAAGTAAATATTTAAATTTTTACAGATATATATATATATTATTGATAAATAATAATCATTTATTGATAAATAATAATCATTTATTATCATTCATACTACAGAAAGGAATATATGAAAGAAATTTCAAAATGGATTTTTTTGCACATCCCCATATGAAAAGCTTGGAAAAAGGCAATTCTTCAGTCACTCTTCGGCTCTTACATGAGAGAGGAAGAAGAAAGAGCGCATAGAACTTCAGTCATAGAGTGATGATAAAGTCGCAATTTTTTTCATTCCTTGGAGAAAAAAAAGGGAATCCGGTTTCTGTTCATGTGAGCAGAATTTTTATCCTTGCATTTCTTTGAGAGGAGATAAAAATCTTTCTGAGAAAAATCAGATTTACTCTTTCCTAGTGATAATGGTCAGGAACTTAAGGGAATAGGATTACGTTCAAATATTTTCCATTTTACATAGAGATTATTGAATCACTGGAAAGGCCTATTTATAAGAACAAGTAAAGAAAAATTACATGTATTACTTGCCAACTCTTGCTGGAAATTAAATGGCAAACTCATTTCTTCATGTAATGTTCTATTTTATTTGAATTTAGTTGAAATAAAATATATATGATGAAAACAACGTAATATTTTCTATGATCATGGGATTTGTGAGATATATTTAGAAGGGAAATAGTTTATTAAATTATTTCAAAAAATGAAAATGTTTGCCTTTACGTAAGGTCGTGCATATTAAACTATGAGAATAAAAATGAAATTTATTAAAGGAAAAGATTTTGTATATTTAAAGATTTAATTCCGCTTCGTTTTACGTTTATGGTAAAATATGCATGGCATAGCAAACTAGAAATTTTTGAAGTTACACTTCTTTTAGGTGTTTTTGAAAATGTGTCGCACACCGTCACGAACGCGAAAACTTTGTCTAGAAATTTGGATTTGATTGATTGATTGTTAGGGCTTTTGGGGAGAATATTTTGAACCATGATGACGTGGACGGGTGGCACCCCCCTCTCCTAACTACCACACCACACCAACGGGATGACGTTTCAGCTCTTGACAGATTTAACGTGCATCGCTGCCCTACACGGCGGGTCTTTAGTGGTACTGGGCTCAAACTCGTGACAAGGCAAGCCACGATCCGATACCTATACCACTCGGCTATCGCGGCCACTAGAAATATACGGAATAGGACAGATCATTGCCGCCTTCAAAATTCCCAGGAAAATATTTCTCTTCACATCATCCCTAAAGAAGAGAACACCTGGGTTTGAAACGGGGGCCACTCGATCTGCAGTCGAAGGCTCTACCACTGAGCTATACCCCCACGTCAGCGACCATTTGCTTTGCGTTCTTTAGAAACGGGTACGAAAATGCTTTGTCTAGAAATATACAGTAAGGAACAGATCACACAATCCCGCCATTGAAAATCTCAGAAATAATACACTGCTCTTTCAACTCCTGGGCTTGAATCGGGGACCTCTTGATCTGCAGTCGAATGCTCTACCACTGAGCTATACCCTAGAGTCTTTGCATTCCGTAGGAACGGATACGAAAAATGCTTTGACTAGAAATAAGAAGAACCATTCCCGCCTTAAATTTTCTCAAAAAAAATATTTCTCTTCACATCCCTAAAGAAGAGAACACCCGGGTTTGAAACGGGACCACTCGATCTGCAATCGAAGGCTCTACCACTGAGCTATACCCCCACGTCAGCGAACATTTGCTTTGCGTTCTTTAGAAACGGGTACGAAAATGCTTTGTCTAGAAATATACAGTAAGGAACAGATCACACAATCCCGCCATCGAAAATCTCAGAAATAATACACTGCTCTTCACTTCCTTGAAGAAGAAGACACCTGGGCTTGAATCGGGGACCTCTCGATCTGCAGTCGAATGCTCTACCGCTGAGCTATACCCTCGAATCAGCTAACCTTTTCTTTGCATTCCGTAGGAACGGATACGAAAATGCTTTGACTAGAAATATTTAGAAGAGGACATATCATTCCCGCCTTAAAATTTCTAAAAAAAAATATTTCGCTTCACTTCCCTGAAGAAGAGGACACCCGGGTTTGAACGGGGAACCTCTCGATTACCAGACGAATGTTCTACCACTGAGCTATACCCTCTGTGTCCGCGAACCTTTGCTTTGCGCTTATTTATTAACTGAAGGTTAATATTGTTCAACTCTCCTCGTGACCGCCTTTCTCCCTTGGCTCAGCTTGCCCTGCTAAAGATTTTTAGAAAGATTTTAATCTTGTTACGCCAAAGAAGTATAACTTCTTACGTGCGTGCATATATACACACACTTTTATTTAAACATTTGTGATATTCCCCCTCTTGGGAGAATATCTCTCGGAGTGTCAGCTTGCACTGGTATGCACCTTACTCTCTATATCTTTGTCCCTAATAACTTCTAATTACCGCCACGTATCTTTATCCAAACTTGAACCGCGAACTAAATTAACATTTCTCTACTTGCCATCAACTGCCACAAACTGTCATCAATTGTCATGCATTGCCATCTCGTTTTCTCTAAGTTCCAATATTTAAAAGCTTTTTAATTTGCATCTTTTTTTCACACTTCACTTCTAGGATTTGATTGGAAAAGAGTGGTCATTAGGTCATTAATTCTGGCCCAAAGAACCCACAGGACATGTTAAAGAAAAGACGCGTGAGCCCGTCACACATTTCTCAAGCAAATAGTTTGCAATCCTATCGAAAAGTTTGTGTTCATGCGTAAGTCAGTACTCTTCCTAAATATATTTCTAAATGCTAATAATAATCCGTAAAAATTTGTATATATTCTTTAAATTAAAAATAAAGTCACACTAGAATAAATTCATTGGTTAAGTAAGAATATTGGTGTCCATATTCTTTTGGTATACGATTTGGGGACTGTAATGAAATAATAAATTTTTGTGCATCTCTGATTGCCAAGAATTGTGTGCAAGTGTCTTGTGATTTTTATTTTATTTAATTCATTTTGTAATATGTCATTTCATTATATTTATTTTCTTTATGTGAACGACATTACCTTTGTGATCTTGAGAAACATTTTAATTAGATGTTCCACTGGGTAAAACATTGAAATGCTATATGAAAAAAAACTGATTAAAGCACCATTAAGATCCTAAAAAGAGGTAAATTCTTCAGAGTAGAGAACACTTTCTTTTTCTTTTATTTATAGCACATTTTAAGTTTCTTAGAATTTGTTTAAGTGACACACAGGTGTTTGGAGTAATGGTACATTATACATTGTTAAGTTATCACAAATATTCTGTTGTCCCGAACTTCCAATGACATTGACTATATAAGTTGGTAGTTATTCTAATACCTTATGAATTATAAATAAAGCATTTGTAGTTTTATGCCATTGAATCTTATTTTGAAAGAGATAGTTCTACTACATGGTAGGCACAGTCTTTAAGGAAATTTTGAATTTGATTGTGCTCCCAACACACATTCTTGAGAAATTCCAATTTAAAACTCAGAATGTGACCCTCACAATGAGAAGTCAATATTTATTTTAACATGAACTACATTTCTTTATGAACCTAAGAAAAATATTGAGGATAACCTCAAGGTAATAAGACAGAATAATAATTTTATAAATTAATTAGTTTATAAGATTTCAAAGGTCATTTATTTCTCTCTCTCTCTCTTTCAGATAAGTTTAAAATTAAAATATATTATATGTTATTTTCTAATAAAAGTTATTTCGATATTTCTCATCATTCAGTATTATATACGGAGAGGCATAAAGCAAGTTTTAAATTTATGTTTAAGAGTAAATTAAATATTCGTCGTAAGTATCTGTTAAAAGCAAGCCCATATTTTGCTTTATGAAGCCCAACAATTCTTGTTGCTCATTTATTCAGACCTTTCCTCCTCCTTTATCGATGCTTCTTTAAAGAAAAAAGCTTTTAGAGGACTGTGTATTTTTCTCAATATTATTTTCAAAATCATGACTTTAATTTACGCTGGCAGCTTACCTTTTTTACCATTTAAATGGAATTATTTTCAAAGTACTGTAAAATCTTAGAACAAATTGCTTTAGAAGCTATTTAAATTTAATTTTAAACCATGTAAGAGATTGTTTTATAAATTCACATGTTTATGAATTTGAAACAACTTCCGTGAAATAGCATTTTTTGTCATTTAAAATAAATTTTTTACTAAGAAAAATATTGGTTTTATATCATGAAAATCATTCATGTTTATAACAGCAAATATTTATGCTTTATTTTTAAAAAAGAGTTTGTTAGTACAAAGTTATGCGGGTTTTTTTTACATTTACAGTTTCAAAAAATTAAAAAACTCATTATTAAAATGCTAATGCGAATAATGGATATTATTTTTCTTGTGCACTTATTTATCTTATGATAGCAAAAATACTTATTTCTTTTAACAACGTTAAATTATATTTTAACATGAAAGTGAATAACTTTTATATACTAAAGCTGAAAGAAAAATAATTTTTTCTCTGTGTGTTATTCCACATAAACATAAAACAGAATTCCATGAAAATTATATAAAATCAATTTTTTTTAATTTACTAAATCACAAAGCTTCAAATTGTTTTGTGGTTTATTTCTACAATACCAATTTAAATACTTTTAAAGAAGTACCTCTTGTAAGTCTTGTGCTTTTTCAGCCTAATATTCATTCTCAAGTTCCATACTTATCTCAACCTCATCAACGCGAAAAAGGTCGAAGCGGAAAAAGCAGACTGGTACAAAATTCTATTTCTATTTCCTTAAGCAGCACAATTTGTAATATTTTTTTTGCACTTCCGTCTTATAATTTAATTCATGTTATGTGTGGAAAAAACTTTTAAAATTTAACAACTTGCATAAAATAAGTTTTAATAATTGGTGGTAACTACAATATGTCAATAAGAAACTTGATTCGAGCTTACCCGCCAGTTTTTGTTCCTGTATTTTGAACTGATAAATTTATCTAAGGCTTCGTAGCAAAGAATGTAATTTTATGAATGGTTTAGAGGTTGTAGCGAACCAATTGGTAGAATACTATACTCATTATACCAGTAAGTAATAAGTTCTATACTCGTATAAAAAAGCATAGATCAATACGCGATAATAGTTAATGTAAATTAAACATGCTTTTGCGTAATCTGAGTAGTTCTACTTGGCTATACTGCAATATTCGATCATAATGACTACCAACGGTATTTATTTACTTATTGTACTATAATCTATAAATTCAGAAAAGTTATAAAACTAATTCCAAATTTAGAATGTTTCGGCATTTTATTCCATGACAAAATTTTTAGTATAACCTTGGCATAATAAGATATGCTTTTTTAAAATTCAAACTAACCATGTGCACTGAATGAAATTTAATGCAGAAGTAAATTGAGAAGTGAATAATTCACCTACTCTATCATCGTAGATATGATTGCTAAAGCTTTGTTGTACTATTAATAGCAAAGAATGTTTAATTACGTGCAAGCAAATTTAAAGCATTCGTAGAACAATACGAATGACTGAGAAATTGTTAAAATTAATTATTTACGAAACAAAACATTTTAACATAAAAATTTATGTTTTAATTAAACATAACGGGATAAAACCATTTTTATAAGACAATAATAAAAAAACATTACATTTCATTCTCAATGAACAAATAATACGGAACTTTTTTTCATCTCTCATTTTTAATAATAGAGAAAATGTTCCAATACTTTAATAAACCAGAAAGGTGAAATTAAAGACAGAAAACATGAATAAAAAGTAAAATTGAAACCCATTTAAGCAAGTGAAATGTTAAACGTGAAACAAAAGAACTCCATTATAAAAAGAAACACCCGTTACAAGGGAAAAGATTAGTTTATATGGAAGTAGAATTTGGCTCTGTGTGTGTGTGTGCTTTGCTTCAAGAAATTGAGATTAAATTAGATAAGCAAATGGTTGGTTTGTAGGTGAATTTATTTATAAAACTGTTACAATAATAAGAGGAACTAATTGTGTTACTTATATCTAATATTTATTATGCTCATCAGTGTTTGCAATGAGTTTGATTTTTATTACTAACTATAAGATTGTATTACTAACTATAACTATAATTAATAAAAGCTTAGATGTAAAACCGTACTTATATATACAGTATTACACATTCTAAAACACACTTTTGAAATACATAAGAAATACATTACGTTTTGCAGTTTACATCAAAGTTTTTCGTTTTAAAGTTCAATAATTTCCATGTTTTATCTGTTCTTTTGTCTGTGCAATACATGTATTTTAATTTTTTTATTAATATTTGAAACAAATATTAATTTAATTTTAATGTTAACTGTGTATATGTAAAATTTATAAATCTTTTAAAGTTAAATATTTAAGTGTTATAAAGTTAAGTATGTAATTATAAATATATATATACATAAAAAACTTATAAAATTGTTTTTTATCTCTTTTTGCTAGGATTTTTTAATTAAAAATCTTCATTTTACCTTACGTAGTTTTTAAATGACAAATACGCTTCCCTTCTTTTATATAATAAATCATATAATTTTCTACAGTTTTTAACATAGTTTTGAGATGTAGTAACTACCTTTAAAAAGCTGTGTATATATATTTATGTAAATTTAAACTTTAAATTTTATTTTTGATATGCAATATCAGCTGTTTAGTTAAGAAACAAAATTTAAGTAAAAGAATACATTAATTTTATTTTGCATTTTGCTCTTTTAATATCAAAGTCAGATGTGAATTTTTTATAACATTTTTAATGCATCTCCTTACAGTTAATTTTTTTTTACATAATTATATTAAATACTTTTGTTGAGTTACTTTTTTCTTTAAAAAAAATAATCCTAATTTTAAATTAATGTTATAAATTAGATAAAAGACGTCTTTTTAACAGAATGCATTAATAAAACTGCCTTCGATCAAAATACTCGAATATAATAAGATTAAAAAGGAAAAATAATGCATCTCAAAAGAAAAAATAAAACGGGAAATAGAGAATACAGAATAATCTTAAGAGAGAAAGACAAAATATCTAATTATTTTAAGACACGAAATATAAGAAATAGCTCTTTTTAAAATTCAAGGATTAGAAACTCTGGAGATTTAAAAATTGTTCTTAACTTGAAAAATCGTAT